TATTCTCATCCCTTTATAACTGAACTTTGTTATAACTGAAAGCTTTTAGGATCTTCTCTTTAGCCTTGATGTTCTGAAACTTCATAATGACAGATTGAGACATGGATGTGTTTCTATTAATTTTGAGGAGCACTTGAGATGTCTTTAGAATTGGGAAATTTCTTTCATGTCTGAAAAAAATTTTCACACTGACTAAATATTGTCCTCTCCATTTTCTCCATTATCTCCTTCTGGAACTCATCTTTTAAAGATATCAGGGCTTGTGTATAAAGCCTGTTTCTCTTATTTTTCCCTTCGTATATTTCCCATCTTGGTCTATTTGCTTTATTTTCTGGGAAATTTACTCAGCTTTATCATCTGAATATGCTATTTTGGAAATCTGTATCTTTAATTTCCAAGAACTCTTCATTGTTTTCTAAAGGTTTCTTTCTCATAGCATCCTGTTGACGTTTTACTGATGGATAAGTATCTTCCCTCAAATCCTCGGTTGATGGTAATAAGCATTGCTGCTTAAAGTACTCATTTGTATGCTGAATTATGTTTTCTTTGGAGTCTATTTTTCTGTTTATCTTGCTGTCACTCATGCTGTACATTTTCCTAAAGTTTCTGGTGCTCTATGCTTGCATATTTTTATTTAAGAATGACATATTAAACAAAGAAACACTTGAGAGTATTGTCTCAGAGATAGGGACCTATTGCCTACAAGACAGCTCTTTGAGATGGGTTGGCTCTTTCATTGCAGGACATACAAATGTCATATTGCCAAGACCTTTGCTGAAGAGCTATTTGATTTCTCCAGAAAAGAATCCAAGGATCTCTTTTTTTGGGACAGGTGCCTGGCTACCTGAAATTATATGCTCACAAAGTGGAGTTTGACTTTCTATTAATGATTATTTTAAGCTCCACATTCGTTTCCTATATTTCTTAATTTAACCAGACACATATGAGTCCCAAGCCTCTCATAAGCATTTGGCTGTTTGTGCTTTCACAAGGGTTTTAGTCTGTGGCTTTCTCTGTTCTACTTCATCTTCTCTTTATCCCCTCCTCACCTCCCCTCAACCCTATTACTCCTCATCTTCCAGATGTTCACTAATGTCACACTTACTGCTGGCCCATCTTGTGTTCTTGGAATAACTGTGCATTATTTTATTCTACCTTCTTTCACTGTTAAGTAAGTACAGACCAGAAGGGAGAGGCCACATCTCCACATGCAATAGGACATTTCCTTTTTTTTCCCTTTATCCTTTGTATCTTGGCTCTACCAAAGGAATTCTACTTAAACTTTTCTTGAAAATGTTTCCAACACAGCTATTTTTCAGTCCCTCCTCCCTAAATCACATTTGCCTTGTACCATAGGTTAAAGTTTATTGCCCCAAATTGTCAGCAGAGCCTTCACCAAAGCAGCCTATGAAACAGGGAGGAGAGGAAACAGAGCAAGTTTCCACAAGTACAGCATTTTTGGCAGTGAGAAGAAAGACTCAGAGAGTAGGTCCCAGGCTGGATTAATAGATGGAGTGTTCAAAGATCAGTGAAATTCCCAACAGCTGTTGAAGGCAGAAGACTATTCTGTCTCCAATCCCATTTGGTGCTTTTCAAGATGAAGGAGCCCCAGCAAAGAAAAGTGTAGGCCAATGAGGTTGCACTAGTACTTCTCAGTATTGCTCAATTCTGATGTATGGAAGTGATTCAGGTATTTCCACAATAAAGCCCAACGTGAGAGGTCTAAGTATATTTTTACCAGGTTCTCAAAAACTAACAAAGACAAGTAAAAAATTGATCATTCCAAAGAATAGTTTAAAATTGAAAACAGCTAAAGAAAAGGCCTAATTTTGGAAGGAAGGTAAAAGCTTCTAGGACCACAGAGGCCAAGATATAGACAGATCTTTTAAGATGGACAACTGAAATCAAAGGCCAGTATGTCAAGGATGAAAGAAAGACTCATTCTGGGTGACGGCGCTGTGGCTTAGCAGGTTGAGCAGCACTGGCATCCCTTATGGACACCAGTTCGAGTCCTGACTGCTCCACTTCCAATTCAGCTCCCTGCTAATTGCCTAAGAAAGCAGTGGAAGATGGCTTGGTTGGGCTCTTGAACCCACATGGGAGACCCAGAAGAAGCTCCTGGCTACTGGTTTTGGATCAACTGCAGCCATTTGGGGAGTGAACCAGTGGGTAGAAGACCTCTCTGTCTCTCCCTCTGTCTGTAACTCTGCCTTTTTAATTACATAAATAAATAACTCTTAAAAAAAGAGAGAGAGAGAGACTCATTCTGACTAGCTTCCAAGGTTTTAGAGGACCTATAAATCCAAGTGGTGATCATATGTAGGAATGAGAGCTAAACACGGTGGTGGTGGGGGACACCAAAACTCCCAGTCTGACTCCTTTTGATAAGCACTTTGACACTAATTCTCTGTTTTGGGAGAATGATTAATCAGACGCTAGAGGACTTCGGAAATCCAACTTAGTTGCTGCTACTAAGCAACCACATTTTGAGAGCTGTGTAGATATTACACATCCTTGTCCTTCATATGAAACAACTGAAGTTTTTACCTAAAGTGCACTCAGAAATTTATACTCCCAGGTTTTGAGAACAAAACTTAAGAAGGTTGAAGAGCTGTAGACTTTGGAATAATTACTACCTCTTCCTGAGACATATTAAGTTTATCTTGTTACATGACCAGAAGAGTAGAAAAGTGGGTTAGAAAGTAGAAGTTCTTTTTTCTTTTCTTTGTTCCTACCTTCCACATTCCCTCTGTGTGTGTGTGTGTGTATGTGTATGTGTGTGTGTGTATTTGTTTAAGAGCCTCCATATTCAGAACTTATCTCCACTTGGATTCTTTCTTAGAAAATCCTTTACTGGATAACTTGCTATTTTAAAAATAGCCTAAGGATTTTAGCTCTCTTTGAAAGCAACAATTTGGCATTAAAGTTTACTTTAATGATAATAATTTTATATAAAACTGATACTTTAAAATTTTAATAATTCTTTAGTGGAAACATAAGAACTTTTAAAAAAACCTCATGCTTATTACTCTCCTAGGATAACTGTTTTCATTTTTTTGTATATTTCTTTCTGCTTATGTGGCGCTAACTTTAGAAATCAAATGGTCCAATTTCTTCCATTTTATGTGAGAAACGTAAGACCCAGAGAACACTGGGGCTAGCCAAGGGTCATACCTTGTCTCCTCTAATAGAAATTCTAATGCTCAATTAATTTTAAATGTCGTTGTTAGGAAGATAGAACTCCCTAACAGCTTATTTGTTTCCATCAAAAATGTAACAGCAAGGGGAAAAGTAACCTCCATAATGTAATGCAGTATTAGCTCTATCAAAGGCAGTGTCTGGAGAATTATAGTTGCAAAGTCTGGATGCCTTCCTTAAAATTCCCAGGAATCTAGGAATTTTTTTACAAAACAAATATTCTTTCAAAGCTTCTGGATTTAAGGATTTGGATTCCAAATTCATATATTTGCTCTGCAGTGCCACTGCTGATTATGTCTGCAGATTGTTGATTCTGGAATGCACCCTCCTTGATAAAAAGGCAAATTATAGGTTTGAAGAGAGCACCTAATTGAGGCTTTCTCTCTGCTCTAAATCAAGAGTTGAAATAGCACTGATGATGGGAGTATTTTTTAGGAAACATGGACGGCTTTCAAAACAACTGTTAGAAACAGTATGAATTTACGCAAGTGGGATTGTTGATATGCTGAAGCAGGAAATAAACAACTGGCATAAACAACTCCAGTCCTGATATTAGCCTGCCACCAACCAGGAAGGTAACTCGAGGCAAAACATTCATGTTTCTAGCTTTGTTGATAAAATGAGGTTAGTCTAGATGATCTCAGAATTCTTTTCCACCCATAAAGTTCTGGAATTCTTTCAAGAAATGTGAAAGGTATTCTGTATTTCAGTCCCTGGGAAAGCCTCAAGTGTGAAGAGTCACCTTTATTAACAAGGTCTTAATATCCATTTGCTGTGAGCCCTGGGCAGAAACCTGGCGCTTGCTTGGTGCCCCTTATCCTGCTTCACCTCCCACCTTCAGACTCTACCTACAACAGAACCCTACTGTTTTCTAATTTTTTTCGTTTTTGTTAAAGTTTTTTTTTTTTTTATTCTCTGGTAACAATTTTTTTAAACTTTATTTGAAAGGTAGAGAGGGAGGAAAGGAAGTGGAGAGACAGAGAGAGAGCTTCTGTCTTTTGGTTTACTTCCTAAACACCCGTAACAGCCAGAGTTGGTCCAGGCTAAAGCCAAGAGTAGGGAACTCAACCCCAGTGCAGAGACCCAAGCACTGGAGCTAGCATCTACTGCCTCCCCAGGTGCACATTAGTAGGAAACCGGATTAGAAGCAGAGGTGGGACTCAAACCCAGGCACTCCGATATAAACTGGGGGCACTCAAACCAACTTCTAAACTGCTGTGCCAAATACCCACACCCTGCATTTTTATCACTGTCTCATCACTCATTATTTTCCATTCACACTACCAATATTTTAGTGCTGGTCCTTTTATCTGAATCACAGGAGCAACCTACTATTCTGAATGGTCCTCTCCAAAGAGTATAATCTCCTGTGGAGTTCCATTCTGTTTATTGTGAAGATTTGCACACTCATCTTAATCTCACACTACAAATTCAGTCATCAATACATCCCATTGGCTCTTTAAATCATGTCTGTGGTGTAACTAAGCTGACCTGTCACCATGTTTCTGCCCTCCTACCCCTCAGCCTACTCAACACAGCATCCAAAGAGATCCTTTTTAAACCATTAAGTCACATCCTCTCAGTCTGCTCCAAGCCAAATTCCTTACAATGACCTTCAAAGCCCTAGGTGCCCCAGCCATCATTCAGGCTACCTTCTTTTCCCACTATTCTCTCCTCTTCACCAGCTACACAGACCCTCTTATCAATCCTCCAATCTGCCAGAAACAAGGTCATCTGCCGGGACTTTGCACTTGTTCTTTCTGCCCAGAATATCTAGAGAGCCACCAGGTCTACTTCCTCACTTTATCACTTAACTCCTGTGTCGCCTTCTCATGGGCCTTCTCTGGCCACTTCATCGCCTCTCCGAGTGTGGGCCTTCTCTTGTTTAATATTTGTCCAACTCAGCACGAACCACCATCTAACGCAGGATGTTCTCTTTTTCTTCTTTATCGTCTCTCTCCCCCGCAAGGAGAAATCTTCTGTTCTTTATTGTTATATTTCAAGAACTTAGAACACCGCCTAACATAGTGCCTGCACAATAAAAAAATATGTGATTGTTGAATAAACTGTGGGAGACCTGCACCAAGGAAGGGTAAGATGTAGACAGACACTAGATAATCACATCTTCTGCGCATACGGGGACAAATTTTGACCATTTTCCAAATAAATTTTCCATTTTGTAATAAAAGATTCCATGTCTGTTAACTGTGACACAGGTTTTACAGGTCTTAGGAGATATTTTCGATCTCAGGAAAAACATTCTCCATTACTAACGCCTGACTTTGGACACGAGGTGATGAATCTCATCTTAGGTTCAGAATGCTATCCTGTACAGCCGGCAGCCCGGCTGAGTTACAGCCAAGAAAGCAGGGTCTACTCTTTCAGACAAAACACTCGTAGACCTTTTAGTGCTCAAAAGTCTTCAAAATTTCACGATTCTAATATGTAACTCCAAGAGGAAATATATGGCTATTAAATACACTGATAGTAACTTTGAAATGAAATGGCCGTAGCACGCAAACACTAAATTCATCTTAAGTAAGATATTAGAAACTCCATTTTGGGGTTTTCCTCCATTTTTTCTCCTTTAGCAGACGCTCTCCCGGGCAGCGGAGGAGCAATTACATGCGTTTAATCAGTATTGGATGGACCGATGTTTTCAACAAAAGGGGCATCCAGGTTACTCGGTGGGTCGCAGTCCTTCGACTCTGTTCTCACGCCGAGCTCTTAGAAGCTTGAATCCCCCAGCCCAGGAAACTCCGGGAGGGACGCCCTCACTCAACAAAGACGCCAGGCACGCGACCAGGGGGCGTCGCCACCGCCACCGCCGCCGCCGCCCGTGCAAGCTCCCGAGCAGAGCGCAGCGGCTGGCGTGGCCGTGCGACGGTCTCCCGTGCTCGGTCTGGCCGCTTCCGCCTCGTCCTCTCGGGCCGGGGAAGCCGCTCCTAGCCGAGCAGGTATGAGGCCCGCCGCCGGCTCTCCGGGGCACACAGCACGAACGGCCCGTTAGCTGAGGGCTCCGGAGCCCGACTCCCGGACTCCACAGCCGCGCCCCGGAGCGGCGGCGGGGGGAGGGGCGGCGACGGCGGCTGGCGCTGCGTCGAGTTTCCCAGAATTCCCAGCGGCCGCGGGGAAAGTTTACGGGACGTAGGCGGCGGCGGCGGCGGCGGCTGTAGCGGTTACTAGGCGGTCGGCGGCGCACCATGGCCTTGGCCCGGCGTCCCTGGACCCTCCTCACGGCGTCCCCGGGCAGCGTCGTGGAGCGGGCAGACTTCCGGGAAGGAACTGACATGCGACTGAGTGGCGGCCGGCGCGCTTAGCGCCCCGAACATGCGGTTGTCCCTGCGGGCGGCTCCGGGCTGCGGAGAGGCGGCGGCGGCGGCTCGGGAGGGAAGGAGGCGGCGGCGCCGGCGGAGGTGGAAGCGGAGACGGCCGGCGCCCGGCGCGGAGCCCTAGGGCGGCAGCTTGGCGCGGCCTCAGGCCTCGTCGGGGGAGGATGCTGTCCCGCAAGAAAACCAAAAACGAAGTGTCCAAGCCGGCCGAGGTGCAGGGCAAGTACGTGAAGAAGGAGACGTCGCCTCTGCTGCGGAGTGAGTGTCGGGCGGCGGGGCGCACCTCACCTGGCCGGGGCGGGCGCGCCTGTCTCAGGGGTCCCCGCAGAGGGCGTGTGCGTGTGCGGTGCCGGAGCGCTGTTTGTTCGTGGGAATTCGATGAGGAGTAAGGAACTTGGGTTCTCCCCTCCCCCCGACTCCCCCTAAAATTAACAAGACTCCCCTGCCTGCCCGGGCGCAGTTCCTAAGAAGAGAGAGATTTCTAGGGGACGCCTACATTGCTGATCCCGAGCTACTGCCGGAGTAAAAGCGGTTTAGGCTGCGACACTGCCGTGCTGGGAGAGATGCGCCCATGTTTGCAAACACCGCGGGCGCGTGTCACTCTCCCGTGTTGGGAGTTGTGTGCACTCTGCGGGGCGGAATTCCTTCGTCCTGCCGGACCGGGAAAAGTGGAAAAACAACCGCTACCCCCAAGCCTCGTCGCTCTTTAGATCTGGAGCAGAGGAACTGTTTTCGTTGCGTCCCCAAAAGACTCAAAATATTTTCTCCTGTCGTAATAGGGAAATACCATAAATTTTTTTTTTTTTAAATTCTTAATGATATGCGTGCTCCCCGTCTTCTTCCCCCCAGCGCTTCTCAAAGTGTTCGACTCTGAATCTCTTGAATTTTTAGGCATGTGTTGAGGACGACGTTGAGCTCAGGAGCTAGCCACTGCTTGAATAAGTTTCCTTCTTGGACGCTGGTGGTAACCTTGTGACTTAAGCATTACTTCATATTGTAATCGGAAAGGCTGTTCCTAGACACTCCTGATATTTGCCCAAGGTCACAAAGAAAGGAGTGGAGAACATGTTTTTCCATTGTAGCCACATCATTAGCCTTCCAGTACTTGCAGTGCTGCTCAACAAAATAGATGGGGACGCCAGTAACTGGAAAGTTCACTTTTAAATATGTTTTTGACAGCTTGGTTTTCTGGTGGTTTTTAAATGATAGCTTGCTATTTGCTGTAAATAAGGTTTATGAACATTATTTGGAATCATAAAATAGGTTTGTCACACCTTTGAGCAATTTGATACAGTATCTTTAGTATTAAGTATTGAGGCTTATTTATTCAGATATTAATGTGATAGCTACTGAAGATTATTAATGAGTGCCCTCAAATATTGTTTACAAGGAATAAAATGGTCTCCGTATCCAGTTGTCATCATGCTTTAAAGACATTAGCTTTTCCACCAGGAATGTCTATGCTCTTTTCTCATTCTGTATTCAAAAAGACCGTATGCTAAAAAGCTATTCTTCTGTTATCTTCTGTTTTGAGTTATAATTACTTATTTTTAAAGGAATCCTAGTTTCAAGCTTGCTGTGTTTTAACTGGCACATTTATGTGCCTCTTTGAAATGCACTCCTTTTATGTTTAATTTTCATACATAAGATTTTGATTCTCTAAAATTTTGGTTACTTTAAAAATTTTTTTATTTTCATTTTATTTGAAAGGTAGACAGATTTTCCATCTGCTAGTTCAGTCCCCAAATGCCAGCAACAGCCAGGGCTGGACCAGGCCAAATCCATGAGTCTGGATCGTAATCCCTGTCTCCCTTAGGGTGGCAGGGACCCAGGTACTTGAGGCATCATCTGCGGCTTTCCAGGGTATGCATTAGCAGGATGTTGGACTCTTAAGTGGAGCCAGGATTTGAGCCCAGAAGCTCCACTAGGGAATGTGGCATGCCAAGTGGTGATTTACCACGGCTCCAGATACCCATCCCTGATTACTTTGGATCACTTAATGAGTGCTAGATAATTTCAAAAGTAGGAAGTTACTAATTTAAAACTTTTTAATGAAATCCACATTTACATGTTTGGGAGTAGCACTATATTGTCAGTTTTATCTTTGAAATAGTGTTTGCTTAAAAAGGATTTTTTTTTTAGGTTTATTTATTTATTTGAAATGCAGAATTAGGAGAGACAGAGATCTTCCATCTGCTGATTCACTCCCCAGATAGCTACAATGGCTAGAACTGGGCCAGGCTGAAGCTAGGAGTCTGAAACTCCTTCCAGGTCTCCCTTGTGGGTGCCAGTGGCCCAAGCACTTGGACCATCTTCTGCTGCTTTCCCAGGCACATGAGCAGGGAGCGGTATTGGAATTGGAGTAGCTAGGATTTGTGCTCATATGAGATGGTGTTGTCCAAGGCTGTGGCTTAACCTGCTGTGTTGCAACACCATCCGTGAAGAAGGCTTTTTGATAATTTCTAAATAGAAGTACAGACAAAACCATGATCATAAGTAAATTATGCTGGTAACTACATATGGATTTGTTAGGTTATTTTCTACTCTTATACATTGATCCATGAGTACTTCATTGATACATAGTTCATAAATAAGCTTATTGATATTTCTTCATCATATAGTATACAGAATATACTTGATTGTGGCTAAGCTTACACAGAACACATTCAGGCAAATTATAAATTCATTTGAGTAGGAAAATACTAATCTTTCTCAATTTAAAATGCCCAAGTACTAACTTAAACTTTAAAGTTGTTTTTTTTTAAGTATCTTGTGATTTTTTGGGTGGTTCACATAACATTTGAAAAGTTCATTGCTTACTGAAATGATAATTGTACTCTTTGTTTTATTATAGATCTGATGCCATCATTCATCCGGCATGGTCCAACAATTCCAAGACGAACTGATATCTGTCTTCCAGATTCAAACCCTACTGCTTTTTCAACTTCTGGAGATGGAGTAGTTTCAAGAAACCAGAGTTTCCTTAGAACTCCAATTCAAAGAACACCTCATGAAATAATGAGAAGAGAAAGCAACAGGTTATCTGCACCTTCTTATCTTGCCAGGAGTCTAGCAGATGTACCTCGGGAATATGGCTCTTCTCAGTCATTTCTCACAGAAATTAATTTTGCTGTTGAAAATGGAGACTCTGGTTCCCGATACTATTATTCAGATAATTTTTTTGATGGCCAGAGAAGGCGGCCACATGGAGATCGTGCACATGAAGACTACAGATACTATGAATACAATCATGATCTCTTCCAAAGAATGCCGCAGAGTCAGGGGAGGCATGCTTCAGGTAACCTGATGTTATAAATGGTCCATTACGATTATATTGACACTTTGATTAAAAGATGTTTCTTTATGAATTTTCCCGTGAAGCTGACAAAGGCTCCCAGGGAAATTCCATTTTCCATTTTGCCATTGTTGCTTAAGCCTGCCTGCAAAATAGTTATGCTTCTACACTGAATGAATTCTTGTGTCCATTTATTTTACTAACTCATGTTTTATAAACCTGGTACTTACCTCAGAGTCATCTGGATTAATATGGGCCTTGAAAACCTGGAGAATTTAATGTCTTTGGTTGGACTGAATTTAGATTTAGGTTTTATAGAATGGGAGGGTTAGACTTTTTTTTTTTTTTTTTTTGACAGGCACAGTGGACAGTGAGAGAGAGAGACAGAGAGAAAGGTCTTCCTTTGCCGTTGGTTCACCCTCTAATGGCCGGTGCGCTGTGGCCGGCGGATCGCGCTGATCCGATGGCAGGAGCCAGGTACTTATCCTGGTCTCCCATGGGGTGCAGGGCCCAAGTACTTGGGCCATCCTCCACTGCACTCCCGGGCCACAGCAGAGAGCTGGCCTTGAAGAGGAGCGACCGGGACAGAATCCGGCGCCCCGACTGGGACTAGAACCCGGTGTACCGGCGCCTCAAGGCGGAGGATTACCCTAGTGAGCCACGGCGCCGGCCCAGGGAGGGTTAGATCTTAGAAATTGGTCTGAAACCCGGGAGAGGGAAACAGGATATGAAAAAGTGGGCATGTTAGGTGATAAGCATGGTCAACTATATAACTTAGTGCAGTCTTGTACTGTTTCTCTGAACGTAACACTATCATTCAATAAGTATTTCCTAAGTTGGTCAAAAAAACTTACTGTCAAGTGGCAAACTGTGTGTTGAACATGTCTTCTTGTCATTCTTGTTGTAACAGTCAGAAATATTAGTGATTAATTAAGGAAAAAAAAGTCCATTTTCTTAATCTCCTGGCTTGGAGATACTTCTACAAGAAGAGACTGGAGAAATGTGCAATTCTGTTTTAGTCTTAAAAAGTACTGGATTACGCTGTATAAATTGAAGCAAATTGAAAGTTTTTGTGATTGATTTTTTCCTACCTAGTGAGTCTTACATTTGGCATAAAGGAAGAAATATGCGAACCAGATTAGCTTTTTAGCCCACATGACTTCAAACAAGCTGACTTAAACATTTTGGAGCGTGAGTGTTTTGACTTGGAAAAGTATTATTCATTAAGTGTTAATCATTTGTGCTTAGCATTTTCTTTGACCCTCTTAGTCTCTGTCTTGTGCTTTATTTGGGGAAATAAAACCTATATATACACAATAGTGACAGAACAATGAATTCTTACACTTTGTTATTGACTGGCCATATGATAGGGAGTCAGAAGAGAAACCATTGTGGACTGGAATAATTAAAAGAATAATTGATGGAAAAGATAGAACCTGCGCGAGTCTTTGAGCTTGGATTTTGGATTAACTGTGGCAGAATAATATTTAAAGACTGAAGTTGGGGGGCCAGTGCTGTGGCACAGTGGGTTAAGCTGCTGCTTATAGCACCGACATTGCATATGGGCACCATTTCGAGTCCTGGCTCTTCGATTTCCAATCCATCTCCCCGCAAATGTGCCTGGCCTGAATGCTTGAGCCCCTGCACCCATGTGAGATAACCCAGATAAAGCGTCTGGCTTTGGCCTGGCCCAGCCCTGGCCGTTGAGGCCATCTGGGGAATGAACCAGTGGACGAAAGATTCTCTCTCTCTCTCTCTCTGTGCCTCTGCCTCTAGTTCTCTGTAACTCTGCCTTTCAAGTAAATAAATAAATCCTTAAAAAAAAGTTTGAAGTTGGGAATAACCCAGTGAAAACAGAGTGGGCATGTTTTAAATTCAAAGGACTTCATAGTTGTGCCTGATTTGAAGATAAAAGCTGTAATGGGAAATGGAGATTCCTAATCCAACAGGCTTAGCGTTGAGTCCAGAAGAAGCATTGTGCATTTCAAAAAAGAAAACACAGTGATTTGATGAAAATAGTGTTTAAAGGTGAGTTTTTGTAGTAGGATTCAGGACAGAGTCTCAGAGAAACGACAATTGTAGGGGAAGTGAAAATGGACAGAGAAAGGCAGAACTATGGTGCTTTTGAAAGAGAAATGGGAATGTAATAGGAAATGAGCTTGGGAGAAAATAGATTATTAAAGTCTTGAATATTTTTTATTTATTTATTTATTTATTTTGACAGGCAGAGTGGACAGTGAGAGAGAGACAGACAGAGAGAAAGGTCTTCCTTTACCGTTGGTTCACCTTCTAGTGGCCGCTGCGGCCAGCATGCCGCGGCCGGTGCACCGCGCTGATCCGAAGCCAGGAGCCAGGTGCTTCTTCCTGGTCTCCCATGGGGTGCAGGGCCCAAGCACTTGGGCCATCCTCCACTGCCTTCCCGGGCCACAGCAGAGAGCTGGCCTGGAAGAGGGGCAACCAGGACAGAATCCGGTGCCCTGACTGGGACTAGAACTCGGGGTGCCGGCGCCGCAGGCGGAGGAGTCAAAGTAATTTTTAAAAAAGATTTTATTTGAGAAGCAGAGTTACAAAGGGGGGGGGGGCGCTCTTCCATCCGCTGGTTCACTCTCCAAATGGCAGCGACAGCTGGAGCTAGGCTGATCTTAAACCAGGAGTGAAGAACTTATTCCAGGTCTCCCATGTGGATTCAGGGGCCCAAGTAGTTGGGCCATCTTCCACTGCTTTCCAGGCCATAGCAGAGAGCTGGATCATAAGAGCAACAGGGACATGAAATGGCACACATATGGAATGCATGTACCACAGGCTGGAGGCTTAGCCTACTTTACCACAGTGCCAGTGCCAAAAAGTAAATTTTTAAAAGCAAATCTGGGGGTTTGTGTTGTGGTGCAGTGGTTTAAGCTGCCATCTACAACACTGGCATCCCATATGGGTGCTGCTCCACTTCCGATCCAGCCCCCTGCTAATGCGCCTGGGAAGGCAGGGGAAGATGCACCCAATATTGGGAGACTCCGATGTGATACGAGGCTCCTGGTTTCGGTCTGGCCCAGCCCAGACAGTTGTGCCATTTAGGGAATGAATAGTAGATGGATGGAAGATCTCTCTGTTTCACCCCCCCCTCTCTCTGTAATTCTGCCTTTCAAATAAATAAAAATAAAAAAATAAAGCCGATTTATATTTTCCTTTAGAGTAATAACTTCTTATAGGGAGTTTGCAAAATGTGAAAAGTAAAAGTAACCATCTACCAGAAAGTCTAAGTGTATTAATTATTTCTTTTATCTTTTTCTGTGCTAGATTTCTTTTTTTTTTTGTATTTATTTTTTTGTATTTGTAATTGTATTTGTAATTGTAACTCTGTACAGTTTCATATCCTTGTTTTTTATTTGAATGAGTTTCCTAATGTTACCCACTTTAAGTAGTTTTAATGATTGCATAATTTTCTATTGGGTGCATATTCAGTGATTAATTTTTTTAAGTTTTATTTATTTATTTGAAAGAATCAATGGGGAGAGGAAGGGAGAGATCTTCTATCTGCTGATTTATTCCCCCAAGGATTGCAGCAGCCAGGGCCAGGCAGGTCTGTAGTCATGAACCAAGAACCTATCCAGGTGTCGATGTGGGCGGCAAGACTCAAGTATTTGAGATGTTATTTCCTGTTTCCCAGGCTTATTAACAGGGAGCCATATCAGAAGCAGAGTAGCTTGGACTTAAACTGGCACTCTGATATGAGATATGGGTATCCCAAGTGATAGCTTAACCCACTATGCCACAACACCTGCCAGTGGTCAATATTTTGTGCAGTTAGTAAGGACCTGATACATGTAGACACTTGAGAAAGGGAGAAGTGGGACATATCCAAATCAATGGGACTTGATCACTAATGCAGTTTGAGAGTCAGAGAGGAAGGATTAGCACAGTGCCTGGCTACATAGGAGATGCTTAAAAAAATAAATGAGTGAATGACTCCAGAGGTTTTAAATCTGGAAACTTAAGCCAGTTTTTATTGCTGAGGGGGAGCAGGAATTCTAGCTGTGCCTACTGCTAGTGAAGGTAATTGTTCTTTATGCTCATCTTTCCTATCTGTGTTCTTATTGCAGACATTTATATAGCATTCCTAATCTGGTAGTCGGAAAGGCTCCAAGATCAAAAACTTTTTTTCCCTTCAGTTTTATTTATATACTTGAGAGGCAGAGACAGACACATATCCACTGGTTCAGGTTCACTCCCCAAATGTCCACAATGGCCAGGGTTGGGCCAGACTGAAGGCAGGAACCAGGAACTCAATCCAGGTCTCCCACATGGGTAGGAGGGACCCATGAACTTGAGCCTTCACCTGCCTTCTGGGTTGTGCAGCGTCAGGAAGGTGGAATTTGGAATGAAGTCTAGATTTGCGCCCAGGCACTCTAATTTAAGATGCAGATACCTTACCAGGCACGGCGATTTTCTGCCTCCCAAAAGCTTTCTGAATACTGACATGATACCAAGTGGAAAATTCCATACCTGACCTCTTGGAACAGGTTGTAGTCAAAATGCAGATGCACTAAAAATATTATATAAAATTACCGTTAGGCTCTATGCTTAAGTTGTATATGAAGCATACATGAGTTTTATGTTTAGACTTGGTTCCCCCTAGGATATCCCCTGTATTTACAAATATTCTAAAATCTGAAATCCAAGATACTTCTGGTCCTAAGCATTCCAGATAAGGGATTCTCAGCTTCTAATACTTCTGTGCCTGAGGTTTAAGTATGTGAGTATGAAAAATTAGTAATACTAAACCAAGGGGCACATGTGTGGTGCAGCATGTTAAGCCACCACTTAGGATACCCACATCCCATATCGGAGTTGGTTTGAGTCCCCACACCTCAGTTTTCAGCCCAGTGTCCTGCCAGTGTGCATCCTGGGAGGCAGCAGATGATGGCTTAGGTACTTGGATCCCTACCACCCGCGTGGGATGTACTGGTGGAGCTCCTGGATTTGGCCTGGCTAAGCCCTGACTATTGCAG